TCAGTAAGTAACTGCTGGGAGAGGCGACTCTCGGAGGGGAGCTTCTTACAAGTTGGAGGTAACTCCAGTGATTCGGCTTTCATGAGTCATCATTGTTGGGGTGAGCTCTTGGGCGATGGAGCTGCATTTAAGTCAGCCATGCTCAGGTAAGTAACCTGTTACCCATGTTCCTCCTATAAGTAACCTCCACCCACATTCTCTTGTAATTAACTCCAATAAATGCACTGATGGTTGAGGCTAGACCCAAATGGTATCATTTCTCTGGTCAGCTCTCAGTAGCCCATCTGCAGTGAATAGATGTTTATTTACATATTTCCACAAAAGATCTGCAACCCTCCCTGCTGTCATGACAATGTCATGTCCTCTGCTATGTGTGGTAAGACTTGAAACTGAGGATGAGCCAGCTGACAGTGCAGTGTTCTTAGCGGTGGGAGAGTCCCAGGGTATTCATCTTCTATGTGGTAGTAGTGTCATGCCTCTTTAATGAGTAAGGTCTACCATGTGAGTATGAAGAAGTACCCAAGGGCTGAGCACTGCAGAATGTAGCCCAACCCCAGAAAGTAGCACCAAAGGATCGGGTCGTAAGCAGGCTGTGGAAGCAGTTGCACAGCCTTTGTTGTAGGTGGTGAGACATGGAGATAAGGCTCAGCGTCTGCCCACAAAGACTTGCCCATATAAGAGAAAAATATAATGAAAAGGACAGGAGGATGCCATCCTCTACATTAGCTCATGATTTGGTAACAGAAATAGAGAAAAGGATGAGATGGAGATGTTGGTTTGTTGTTTCTTGCAGGTGGTTGGGCACAAGGCGAAGAAAGTATATGTTAGATTTCCTTTGAAGAGCCCTTGCTGGGACCTAACAACTTAAAACTCACGGGACAGTGAGGTGTGAGAGAGAGAGAGAGAAGGATATCCATCAGGTCTAAACTGTAGTACAGAGGGACACGGTGGTTGGGCACAAGGCGAAGAAAGTATATGTTAGATTTCCTTTGACGAGCCCTTGCTGGGACCTAACAACTTGAAACTCACGGGACAGTGAGGTATAAGAGAGAGAGAGAAGGATATCCATCAGGTCTAAACTGTAGTACAGAGGGACAGAAATGACTAAGCATTCAGACAGAGTTTATGATAGTCAGGGAATACCTTCCCTCTGAGCTGCTTAAACTGGGGAAGAGTTTTAAACAAAAATGAAAGAGTTGCTCATAGCCTTGCTCATGAGGCTCTGGGATGCTGCGGTGGATAGGCTAAGGCTGGGTGCTTTGGAATGGGTAAAACTGAGTCCCCCTTCAAGGCAAAGGCTGACCATTATGAGGCATCATGAGGGAAACCAGTTCCTGATGGAGTGGCTCACAAGAGCCCTGAGAGAGGGCTATCACTGGCTGAGATCTCATCAACAGGAGGGACTAGAAGACAGGAGAGGAGGGACAGCCACTGACAACAAACTGGACATGGAGCAACAGTGTTTGTCGTCCAGTTAACCAGGTCAAATGGGACGTTATTTAAGGCAGAGTTAAGAGGGAAGTTAATTCAGCAAGGACCTCAGGCATTAGAGGCTTTAGAGGCTTTGCTTAGCTCCATGGTGGAATATGACCTTTACGAGGGAGGAGAGGCTCTGACAGATCTGTACTGATGTAGATTGGCATGTAAATTTGGTATGCAAGGTACTGAGCCCTTCAGGAGGGGATTGCCCCGCTGTCAGCACTGGTACTGGAGATGAGTACCAGTGGGAAGCGGTTGCTCAGCGCTTCATAGTCATTGAACTGCTCTGAAGTGGCTGCCACTGTGGCCTGTTAGTCCAATGCTCAGCCATAAATGCTGGAAGGTAATGGGACTTCTGTACCACCTGCTCTGAGGGTCAGGGTCTCGTGGAGGACAAGGCAGAATGATCCTTAAGAACTGCAGGAAGAGGTGGACTGTTGTGCAGTTATTTCTTCTAAATTGAAACATTCTCTCTTGAAGTGGGGAGGAAAGTACCTAAGACTCAAAAAAGCTCAAACTTAGGGAGCACAGGAAGTTCACAAAACTTAAGATTCATGTGATCTTTCTCCAATGTGTGTTGAGAATGAATGTTCCCAGTACATTACTGTGCAATAAAACATAGTATCTGGAATGCTTCCCCTCTGGGAGAGGGAACATAGACATCTTTCATACTTTTTTAAATATTAAAATGTGATGTATGATATTGCAAATTGGTAAGAGATAGATGAGACTACTATCCAAATGTCTGGCACCAGATCTTAGGTGAGTTAGATGAGGAAAGGTCAAGTCATGAAAGCAGCGGACCTCCAGAGGTGCCCACAAGAACCTGCTCACACTTGCTGATCGAGAAGCATGCAGCTGGGTTAAGGCCCTGCAGGCCTTTCCTCCTCCTTAGAGTCTGAGACCACCTGGTAGCTGTGAAAGAACAACACTGACCTTCACCAGACAGGGTCACTGGGCCAAGTGGGGTCATTGGCACATACATCTGTACTTATCTTTATTACTTTTTAATACTACTCTTAAGATAGAAGATCCCCCCCGCAATAAGCATTTTCTTGAAAGAGAATTTCAATTCTATTCCAATGCTATCTCTTTGCATAAGCCATGTCATTGGTAGGAACTGACTGAATTTCAAACCAGTCTAGCTCTGGCTTATCTGGTATTAGTTATATAGCCCACGCTGGCATCAAACTTGTGGCACTCCTGCTTCAGTCTCCCGAGTGCTTGATTACAGGTGTGCCCCATCAGTTCTAGCACCTTTTCATTTATTATCATAATGATGTAGAGAAAAAAAATAATTTCAAAAGTCAAAGTAATCTGTAACTATACAGCTGAACAATGGCCTGTTGCATTTATTCAAGATCAAAATATTATCCTAGGTAGGAACAAGAGCCAAAGGCCCCCTTTCCAGAGAGCTCTAGCCTTCAGAGTCAGGATGTGCATAGTGCTGTGGAAACGAGAAAATGAAGGATATTCTAAAGAGCACTGAGAACTCTGCCTGGTCTTATGATATGATTCCCATTAGCATTAAGACAAGGACACTGGCCTATCGTCCCTCTAGCAAGGCCTGCTCTTTGCTTAGTGCCTTATCCTTCCTGGCACCAGCCTTGAAAATGTGGTCAGCATTAGATCCAGGAGCGAGTTTACTACTGTCTACTGTGGGTCCTTGTAAGTAATGGGAAATGAAGAAAGTAAAATGTTGTTTTAGGCTGAAATGTTTTCAAAATACTTCTAATGGGAACTCATGTCTGCTTCCGACAAATGGCTTCAAAGCCCATCACACACTGGGTGCACTGCAGGAGACCTGCTCTCTCCTTTCAAACTGATGAGTCTCTAGAGGAGAGATTCAAAGGAGCTCCGGTTCTAATTGTTTCAGTACTGCCTCGCAGAAAGGACTTAAAAAACAATCTTTTCATCCGCAAACTATGTTCAGTTGAACATGTCAGAAAAGAATGACATGGTTATACATATTTCTTGTACAGCCTTATTTAGGTTCTGGTTAATCAGGGGATGGTCCCTTTGACATTCAATCACAACTCTTTGATAAGTTACTGTTATTTTTAGAGAGACTAGAGTTGACTCATTTCAAGCCTGGAATTTTTTCTTTTCATTTTTGAGCGTTCATCAATATTTAGTTCATAAACTGATACCTCTCATTCTTTTTCCAAATCAGAGTTTTTATATAATTAAAACTTAAAACAGTTCATAATTTGTAGAAAACATTTTAATACTTAATAAAAGGATCTAATCTGTGATTCCTAGGAGGTTTGACTGTGAAAACCACTTGGAACTGTAGAATTTTATCTACTTCTAAAAATACTTCATGTGCATAAAATCAAGAAAGTATTCTGAGAATACATCAAGAAACATAAAGATAGAAAAATCAGAATTAATTTTGTTAATTAAGCTTCTGGGAATGAAAATATGAGCAACAAAGTCTAAGACATCTGCAAATCACGTATCTGATGAGACTAGTATCTAGAACACAGGAAGGACTCCGATACCTTAGACAAAAAGAGAACAACAAATTAAGAGATGAGCCAAAGACTCTGATATGGATATATCTAAGAAGATACGCAAGTGTCCCAAGTAAGTTAAAAAAAGATGCTAGGCCATTGTACATCATCAAAAATCAAAATTACAATGAAATTTCAACCTTCTACCTTAATGAAGATTCTAAACCACAAAACAAAACAGAGCAGAAAATAAGTACTGGTGAGGGCATAGGAAGCTGGAAACTCATTTGTTGCTGTCGGGAATGTAAAACGGTGTAGCAGTACAGAGGGTGTACCAAAGAGACATTAAGAATGAAAGTAAGATACCGCAGAGCGCTTGTTCCTGTATCACACTCTGCCACCCAAGGCCCAGGGTCCACTGTTGTGGGGGGGGATCGTAAGACGCAGAGATGGGGGATGACCACAAGGAAACAGTAGTCCAGACAGCTGGGAAGTTACTCATATGAACTTGAAGCAATAGTAACAGCATACACAAGACCCAGGCCAGCTCAACAGACAGAACCCCAGCATAGAAGTGGAGAAGTGGGGAAGACGACCAACCTAAGCTGAGGAACTATTGGCAACTGGTAACTGCTGGGAGGGGGAGAGTCCATTTTCTTTAGGGTGTGATACTCGGTAGGTTAACCAGGCTCCAGTAGATGAACACCAAAAGACATCAGTGGATACAAATTTGACTTGATATGGCTTACCATATATGACACAATATGTGACATCTGGTGGGAGGTGCTATAAGAGGGGTGCATTTATGATCAAAATATATTGTATAAAATTTGCAAAAATTCAATCAAAAAACCATGAATCTTCATTTCCAAGAAATACAATTACAGACTTAAAAATTGAAAATTCCTAGACATGGTGGACATGCCTATAAACAGAGCCCACAGAAAACTGGCCCAAAGGATGATGATTTCAAGGCCACTTCTGCTAAAAAAATGAAAACCAAAACAAAACAACTCCCCCAAACGGAAAAAGTGAAACCTTTACTCTGTGGAAGGTTTTACTCACTGAGGTTCCATTTCAGGCCAGTTGTGGTCACCCGGCTGCAAGGCTGTCCAACGGGAATAAGGCCGCACCAGCTGCCTTCCAACCCTGTGTCTACGTGCAGGCGGTGCTTTCCCTGAAAGAGAAGAGTGAGCATGAAGTGGGGGAGAAGCAGACAAGCTATGGCACACTCAATCTTGACAACAAACTGACATAGTACATGCTTTTACATGACTCAATCTCAAGAACTTTTCTAAAATAAGCTTACTATTAATCATCAGTCTTACATTTGATAAAATAGAATATGTTCAAGACCACACAGACAGAGACTATTCCTCTATACACCGGCCAGTTCAAAACATGCCATGTTATGCTTAAGATGCACGTAGCACTCCATGGTACAGAATTCTAGGTTCTAAAACATAACACTATTCCTCAAGTAAAAGCTCTGCTTATCATAGAGCTGGGTTTCTAACATTCAGAGTTCAGCATCAGCACTAGCAGTGGTTAGCCTGCCTCCCATAGCCTTTCCCCCCATACTGCTCCTCCACAGGCAAGATCCATTTTGATAATGAAAACATGCAATTTGTCATGCTTTTATTTTTTGTTTTATAGGAATATTAAAATTTACTGTGCTAATCAAGTTAACATTTCCTTTTAAATAGCATAGTTCTCTGTAAGCAGATTATCCTTCCTCTTCAAAGTAAGCATCATCTATTTCCATTCCAGTCACTATTCTTGAGTAGATATTTTTTATATATAGATGTCTCAGGTCTCCTGGGAAAATGACAATGCATGCATATACCCAATTTCAGAATACAGAAGGCATTTTTCATAATTCATAGAACTCTGAAGAAATGAAGTCTTAAGTACATTTAATACATTATATAAACCAGAACACACCATCTAGTTCACTTATTTTGCTGTTTTTACTTTTGCATTCTATGCATACGTTTGATAAAACCTTATTCTGCTCTAAGGCCTCAAGCTAAGAGTAGAGTAGCCAGGTCCTTTCTCAAAGGACTGTTTTTATTAGGAAAAGAATTCTCTGAATTATATATTAGTCCTAAATTTAACATAAGCTTATTGATTCCCCATGACATATACAATTCACACTCATATACAGGGTGTTTAAATATTTAAACAGAAAGAGTATAAATGTAATCATGCAATTTATTTATTTATGTATTTATTTATTTACTTTGTGTGTATGAGTACTGTGCCTGCATGTATGTAAGTGCACCCATACATGCAATGCCCATGGAGGCCAGATGTGAGCATTGGATCCCCTGGAACTGGAATTAATATATAGTTGGGCACCATGTGGTTGCTGGGAACTGAACCTGGGTCCTGTGTAAGAACAGCTAGTGCTGTTAACTGCTGCACCATCTCTCCAGCCTCCAAACCAATGATTTTTAAAAGCAACACAAAACACATTTTGAACTTGGTGCTCACTGTGGAGAGGGAAGACAGGCAACAAGTGCAGCTGTACCTAGCAGGAGGTGAGGCGGACACCCAGAGATGCATGGGTGGGCTGTAGCCCAGATAATATGCCTAAGCCACAGAGATGGCTTTGCAGAATGAGACAGAATGAGCCTTTTGATCAAGCTATAGTTTGCTCGTTGCACCAAGTGTGGGAGCCATAACTATGCACAAACACTTCAGTTCAGAGTAATGAGTCAACATTAGCCCTTTTCTTGTTACAAATGAACTATACAAATGAACTAAGCAGGTGTCTAACCTGCTTAATTTCCCACAAATGCAAAAAGTAAAGATCTGTATGTTTTAAAAATATCTCACAGCAACCTTTGGGCTTTTCCTCCCTCCATCAGCACCAAGGGCAGTGGGATGGGGGTTTAAATCCTACACTAGATTAGCAGTGTCCCCATTCCACAAAGGAAACAGGAGTCACTTCTCAATAGCTATTACAACTGACTCTGGCTTCTCCTCTAAAAATAAAGTACTTCTTTCTGTAAGGCATGATGTATCTTTATTGTTTTGTACAGTTTTCCCTTAAATTGATTTAGATTGACTAGTTTATCCCTGAAACTTGTTTTTTTTCCTCTCTCTCTATCATTCTCCAAAGCAAGATAATGCTCTATGAGGACAGAAATTCTGAAAAAAATACAAATGAACATCACTAATGCCATACTTTGTGCATTTTAACAAATTCTGAAAGCAGTGAAAAAGCTTCCTTTGTACTAACAGAGGATGCAGGTAGGGAGCTTGGAGACATACTCATTTCTTTATAAATATTTTGGCTTCGGCAGGGAGGACTAGGCACCTGTGAAGGCATTTGAGGAAGGAGAGCCTGGGCCAGCTTGGGGCGCAATGGAAAGTCAAAGCATCAGGTAGGTGACAGATGAGCTGCTGCCTCCGGGCTCACCTGGGCTGGAAGAGTGAGGACTGGGGTCAATATGGGGCCCGATTTCTGCCTGTCCGTCCCTTGACAGTGAGGGTGACTTCTTGTTGTTTATCAAACAGGGGTTCCACACTATTGGCTTATTTTATTTCTTTAAAAAAAAATATTTTTATTGTTTTTATTTTATGTGTACGAGTGAATTGCCTGCATGTGTGTAAGTGCTCGAGTCTTGTGTGATGCCCACGGAGGCCAGAAGAGAGTGTCAGATCCCCTGGAATAGGAGTTATAGATGATTGTTAGCCACCATGTGGGTGCTGGGAATTGAACCCAGGTCCTCTGGAAGAGCAGCCAGTGCTGCTTAACCACTGAGCCATCTCTCCAGCCCCCAGCCTGTCTTATTTTCAGTGTGTTACCATTCACTCCTACTTTTAATGATGACTTCCCCCCTGCTTTTCACCTGCTTTGTGGTTTGATGGCAGCTAGCTAAGTGCATTGGTATGTCCGGCATTCCAGAGAACTTGAGTGACAAATGAGGAAGGGAGAAGGAATTATTTTTCAGCTGGTGGATATTAACCCACATAGAAGATTCTCCACCCTGAAGCATATGATGCGAAGGAGATATCACGTATCCAGGCTGATTACCCCGAGGAGAGAAGCATCTCTGTAAAATCACCGACTTAAGCAGTGCAGTGTAAACTTTCCATCTACCCTTGCTATGTGTTCATCACCCTCACTGTTATTTTAAGAACAACACACTTAGCATTTTCAACCTGGGAATAAACTAGCTTGTAGACCTGAGAAAGCAAAGATAGGCCTCAGCCTACAATCAGTTCTTTTTTTTCCTCTTGCTCTGAAAAGGTGTTTTGCCATATATGAACGGTTTTGCTGTTTATAAATATGCAGATTTAACTTTTATGGCTGGAAGACAGCAGCATTATGCTTTCCTCCTCCATCTTCAAGTCAACCTGACAGCTTTAAAAAAGGAATGACTGTGTAAAGGGATTTCTGTCCATTCCCTAGATTTTTCAGTTCATAATATATGCTAGTCTATATGTGACTTGACATAGGCAGGCATCCAACCTGACATTAAAGAACTTCCCAGAATTTATAGCATTCTTGAAGACCAGAGGCACATGAACTAATCATTTACTTCCATCTACTCTCATGAATCACTGCACACATTTCTGCTCCTATTCTGTTCTCAGCTAAGATAGTTCTTTGAAGTCAAAAACAGTTTTCTACAGCAAAGAGAGAACAGAAATCAATCACAGTTTGCCTCTTCAGTTGTGGTTTTGAACACACCTATCAGCCTTAATACAGTATAAAGTTTTAACTCATTAAAAGGCAACAAATGTGTTGTATGACACTTGTACGGGAAATCATGCTGAAGATCACACTGAGGACAGACAGTATCATAGGATCAGATTCCCTAGACTGCAATTCCAAGCTAGGGCAAAGCATATACAAACAGATACCTACAAAAAGGTAAGAGATCACCGTCACCTGTATATACTCCTTCACGGCAAAGGAGTCAGAATGACTGAAAGGAAGTATTAAAGCTCATTCTAGATTTTGCCTTTGAAAAACATCAAACAAAGACATCTCAGTTCTATTTACATTTCTGAGTCCTTAAATTCAGTAGCTATGCCAACTTACACAAAGATATCTTAGTATATCTTAGTGCGAGTTTCACAAAATACATAGCAAATTAAGATAATATATCACTGATCACAAGTAGACTGAATACCGAAGAATGTAATGACTTGTCTCTTTAGAATAAAGGATTCCAGGAGCAGATGCCACTGGTAGTTTACAAAGCAGACAGTATTCATTAATTTGCTACTAATGCTCAACATGCACCGTGTCCACCTGCAGTAAAAACTGCAGGCACACAAGTAACAAGTGTCACTGGAAGAGTGCAGCAGACCGAGGATGGAAAGGCAAACCTCTAATAGCTCAGCACTTTCTAGTCTTTCCACAGGCTAAAAAATTTATCAATAAATACTTCAAGAAATCAACTCGTCTGCAGGAAGAAAAGGTTAAAGAAAGTAGATGAAAGGATCTACGTTTGTGTACCAGGAGATGCTACTTCCTGCAAACACAGCCTTGGGTTGGTCTATTTTCAGGCTGAGAATGATCACAGAGGCAAAGTAGCCACACTACAAATGGTCTCCCTGCAGAACTCCCATCTGTCCAAGACTTCACAGCTGGAAGACTTGTCCTTTTCTTTGATTTTGCCCTATAACTATAGAAGGATATTGGGTTTGAGTGAAATGGCTGTATTGAATCAGTTACCAATATGCATCTCTCTCTCTCTCTCTCTCTCTCTCTCTCTCTCTCACACACACACACACACACACACACACACACACACACACTACTTCTTCCAAGGTCAAATGAGACCGGGAAAAATTGCTTTGCAGACTATCCTTTTAGAAGTCACAATGTCTGTCAACATACTCCATGTTCTGTAGTATTACAGCAGAAAAGAAACAAAGTTTTCCTGAATGAGTGCTTCAAAAATTCTTATGAATGACCACTGAATCTCCCTTCATGCCTCAACTGACACTTTATTTCCTACAGAAGCTTCATTTCATGGAATCCATGATAATGAGAGCTTGGAATTGCTTCTTCATATATACTGTCTATAACTTTAATATTCTGATTTAATATTTCCACAGCTAGATCATTTCACAGCTATGTTTCAAAACTAATAACATATTTGATTTTTGTTTTGGAAATTATTCAATAACCTCAGGCTTAAATCATAGATC